CTGTAGTTTGTTTCTTTGTTTTCCATGTGAGCAGTGAAGTTCCCAGAAATGTGCAGTAACCTGTAATGGATCTCCTGGTATCAGGGCAGCTGGCCCAGTCTGAGTCACTGAAGCCAACTAACTCTTCCTTTGCTGTATTACTGAAATGTATGCCCTGATCTGGTCTGGATTTCAAATACCTCAAAACCCTGTAAGCAGCTTGCATGTGTTCTTCACATGGATTCCTTTGATACTGACATAGTTGTTGTACAGCAAATACAATGTCAGGTCTGGTAATTGTAAGATAATGGAGTCTTCCTACCAACCTTCTGTATACTTCACCATCCTCCAACAGTGTTCCCTTTGAGCTTAGTTTTACCTTTGCATCAATGGGTGTCTTACATCCTTTTGCCTCCAGAAAGCCTGTGTCTTTCAGGAGATCCACACAATATTTCCTTTGACACATGTTGAGTCCCTTTTTATCCCTGCTTACCTCAAGTCCAAGAAAGTATTTCAATGGCCCTAGCAGCTTCAACTTGAATTCCTTGCTTAGGGCTGTTTTAACTTGGTCTATATCCTTTTGTGCATCACCTCCCACCAAAATATCATCCACATATACAAGAATGACAGTGATTCTCCCATGTGTCCATTTGGTGAAGAGTGAATAATCTGATGCTGACTGTGAGTAACCAAGTTTCAATAGAAAACCAGTGAGCTTAGCAAACCACTGTCTTGAGGCTTGCTTCAGACCATACAGTGACTTCTTCAACCTGCAAGTCATCCTCTGACTTCCTACTGAATTAACCTTGAGTCCAAGAGGGATCTTCATGTAAACCACTTCTTCTAAATCTCCATGCAAGAATGCATTGGATACATCCATCTGTTCAATTGTCCAGTTTCTCAAACTTGCCACTGCTAAGAAAGTCTTCACTGTATTTATCTTAGCAACCGGTGAATAAGTGTCCAAAAAATCTATTCCATATATGCCTACTGCAAGAATTTGACTTGCCATAGGGTCCAAAAGTAAGATCAGGATCCATTTCATAATCTTCATATCTGCTAGGAAGTTTAAGTTTCCTTCGAGGCTTACTTGGTTGTGAAGCATCCTGGGAATCAAGGTCCATGTCAGCTTGTGGATAAAGTTCATGATGATCAGTATCAAAATACTGGTCATGTTGCTGAACTTGTTGGTCTTGACTTCCAGGTTGCATTGAAGAGACCTCAGTGCTTTCATCCTCAGGCTGCCCCCCTTCATCCATGGATGGATGAACCTGAGGATTAGAATGATGAAAAGAAGAAGGAATATGAAGTCCAGGGGCAGGACCATTGGAAGATGTAACTGGAGTTGACTGTGTGGATATTGTCTCTTCTGCACAATGAAATGGCAGAATCTTCTCATAGAAGTAAACATCTCTGGATATAAACACTTCTTTGCTGTGTATATCCAGAACCTTATACCCCTTAATACCTGTGGGAAATCCAAGGAAAACACACTGCCTTGCTCGTGGGGCAAACTTAGTTCTTCCATGGGAGAGAGTGGAAGCATAACACAGGCACCCAAAAACCCTTAAGTGTGCCAATGAAGAGGGTTTGTTGTAAAGTAACTCAACTGGAGACCTATGACTTAGGACTAGTGTAGGTATTCTGTTGATCAAGTACACTGCATGCAGTACACACTCAGTCCAGTATTGTAAAGGTAAACCAGATTGAAATCTAAGTGCCCTGGCCACATTAAGAATATGTTGGTGCTTACGCTCCACCCTTCCATTCTGTTCTGGTGTTGCAACGCATGAAACTTGATGTTCAATGCCTTCTTGTGCAAAGAAATCACACATTTCAAACTCCTTACCCTGGTCACTACGTATGGTTTTCACTGTGGTTCCAAACTGATTCTTAACCAAGGCACAAAAGCCTTGTATTAACCCCCTAACTTCACTTTTGTGTCTCATCAAGAAAGTCCACACACAACGAGAAAAATCATCCACAACAGTAAGGAAATATTGATAACCATCATAAGAAACCACTGAGAGAGGTCCCCAAATATCCATATGAAGTAAATGAAAAATCCCAGGTGCTGTCTTGGTACTAACAGGAAAGGGAAGTTTGTGTTGTTTGGATAAATGACAGACATCACAGTGCAAATGTTTAAAGTTGGTTACATCTGGAATTGTTCTAGACAATAAAGACATTCTATCATGACTAGGATGCCCTAATCGCCAGTGCCAGATGTGGAGGTCTTGTGGTTGATAGTTGAGTGTGGAGGCAGCTTGTGGTGAGGAAGAAGGTGGTGTAGGGTACTGAGATAGAATCAGCTGGTAAAGTCCTCTAAACTCTCTTGCAAAACCAATCCTCTTCTGGCTTAGAAGGTCCTGGATTTCACAATGGTCAGAGTGGAAGAGTAGGGTCAGTGGGTGATCATGGGTAAGCTTACTAACTGATACAAGGTTGAAGGTGAATGAAGGAACTAGGAGAACATTGTATAGGATTAAGCCAGTAGGTAATGTGACTGTCCCTACACATGTAACTAAGACTTTGGATTTGTTTGGTAAAAAGACATAGGTGTTCTGAACTTCAGTGTAACTAGTAAACATGTGAGTGGAACAAGCTATATGGTCAGAGGCACCTGTGTCTAAAATCCAAAGACCATGATCAGATGTGTTATCTAAATGGGAGGAAGAAACAACATGTTTACCTGAATGGTTGGGGAATGGTGATGGGTATTGTGTGGCTGTGAAAGCTTGGTGGTTTATGGATGGGGAAGTAGGTGGTGAGGGATGAGCGTTAGTACCAAGTTGCAGCAATGACCTGAGACGATTCATTTCTTCTGCAGTAAAGCCTAATGGAGTTTGGTTCATACCTTCTGCAGCAGCTGAACTTTCAGTACTGTGATCACCCGTTCCATTCCCAGCTCCTTGTGCCACTGAGTTGGCAAACCGAGGAGTGCTGGAACTGGAACTAGAACTTGAATTAGAATACCCATCCTTCTGTTGCTCACCTTGTTTCTTCTTTAACCACCAACACTCATCAATGTTATGATTAGTCCTCTTGCAGTAACGGCAGTATTTCTTCCCTTGAGTGTTATCTGCTGTCCCTTTGGTTTGATTGCTGTTTGCAGCCAATGCCAAGGATTGACTCTTCTTACCACTAGTAGTGGCATCTGCCTTCAACTTCTGCTCATGCTGGAGCAAGTCATCCACTCCTTCAGAAACACTAGGCAGTGGTTTCTGCATCAGCAACTGAGTCTTGATAACTTCAAACTCTGGGTTGATACCTCTTAAGAATCGGATCAAGTAATCAGTCTCCTGTTTCTGAACAAATGCCGCTATTGCAGCACATGGGATGGTGGAACCAGGTGCACAAGCACAGGGTACAACTGGACAGAATTCAACATACTCATCCCAAAGACCTTTAATCACTGTATAATACTGATTAATTGTTCTCGAACCTTGTTTACAAGCCAAAATCTCATCTTCCAAGTTTGCAATCCTCATGGCATTTGGTTGTCCAAAACGCCTCTTTAGTTCTTCCCATAGTGTTTTACAGTTACTGTGATTCAGAACAGCCCTTCTTAATTCTTTAGTCATGGAGTTCTGAATCCAGCATAACACCACTGTGTTACAAGCATCCCATATCCCAAACATGTCTGAATCCCTAGAAGGTACTGGGACTGACCCATCTAAGAAACCAAGTTTGTTCTTCGTTTTAAGAACCACTTGCATAGATCTACTCCACATTGTGTAGTTAGTTCCATCAAACAACTCCGCAACTAGGGACTGAGCCATGTTTTCATTCGGATTGAGATAGAAAGGGTTACCAAAGGTTATGACCTCTGGCTGTTGTTGTTGTTGCTGTCGACCAAAGGAGCCAAACTGAACTCCACTGAAAGCGGATGTACCACTGTTACCATTGTTGTCGTTGTTGCCTCGTCCTTGTGCGCCAGCAGGTGGTGTTGCTTGCTCACCAGACATCGGGCTGCGCAGTCACAAACCCTAGAGTCTGGGTTGCTCTGATACCATGTAAACTTTGCAGAAACAAATGATTTTGGAGGAGAAGCTCAGTCTCAACCTGAGCTCTCTGTAGCTTTTATAGCTACTGAATGTCATTAACCAACAACTCATACGTGTCTTAATACAATTGGGCAATGTTCAAACTAACAGTAAAAATTAACGGCTAACTACACATAAAACAAACGCCGCCGTTTCATCTCCACGAGACCTTCCTTCAAGTACGTCGTCGTCTGCTACTCCTTCACTTCTTCTTCCAGAACGTCGTCGTCTCCAACTCCTTCTCTTCTATTTCCAGAACGACATCGTCTTCACTTCTTCACTTCAATCCGCAAGCCAGCAGGATTGCAGTCTCTTCTTCATCTTCAATTCTGTCAAAAATAGAGGATCCTCTGCTCAAATAGACGGCTCAATTTCGCGTTGCTGGGAAGTTGGTCGTCTTCTGCAGATCTGGAGAGAAAGATCTGAGGTTGGGTACATACATAAAGGGTTGACAAGAAGTGGGAGCACAACATTTCGAGCAGGGATAAACAAGTGAGCTTACTAGCTAGCTAGATTTACTTTTGTTTCGTTGTTCTGCAGATCTCTATGGGTGTTTTGCTATATACTGTTATTTGCTTCTTCTGGATACTGAATCGAGAGCTAGCTAGCTAGTTTCACTTCTTTAGGTGGTGGAAACTAGAGGAATTGAACGATCAAGGATTACCCATAATCTTATTTCACTAGGTAAGCTTAGAAGCAAGAAAAAAGGTTCAAGTTTGCTACTTAGGAAAACCATTGTCTTGTCTTGATGATAATGCTCCCTGAAGTTAGGAAGGTCACTTAACAACCTGCCATGTCGTCAACCCTGATGAGCTTGTATCACTTTATAACACATTCACTGTGTATGAATTATATACCATGTGGTCTTATTTCTACTGAGCAAAGATGATATTGGGAGGCTTCAATAATTAAGAGAAATATTCAACGAAAAAAATAATAATCAAGAGAAATAACCCTAATCTTTTGAAAGCTCACGACGAAGCGCGACAAGCACGTCTTGTATTACTAACTATGACCTTTCCATAAAAAGAGAAGAAGAAAACCTCAATCACAAACAAACAAGATATCATCGACAATTCCAAACATAACTTTTCTTGTTTGCCAGGAAGATAACATGCATTCGGTCAATATTTTAAGTCCAATACGTTATTTTCTACGCCAGAAGAAAAGATTCGTTTGGATACATCTTCCAGCACAAATGGCCTTTCCTTTTTCTTTATAAAGAATTAAAAGGAAAGGAAAATCTCTACCAAAAAATATAACAGTAACCCACACAAAGACCAGCGCCGAACAGCATAAGACTATCCTCTGTTCTGCTGCCAAATCTTTCATCCCTCTGATCTGTTCGTTTCCTTCCTTCGTCTTAGTTGCTGAATTCTGAGATTAGCACTCTTCTAAGGTGAGTGTCTGTTCCCAAAGCTCAGACCTTTTCCGTTTACCAACTTCTCGTTCATCTCTCTGTTCTGTTCCCACTGATTTTCTGGGTTTAGTTTGTTATACTTGTTCGTCGGCGCCTATGTTGGATCTTTGGGTTGGTATTGTCAGTAGGGGTGAAATGCTGACCCTTCTCCACTCTCCATTCCTCTCGATTACTTTCGTATTTCCATTTACCTAAAACAATTCAATCTTCACCCTTCATTCTCGGCGATTGTCGGCGATTGCCGTCCGACGTCGACGCCCAGTCCTTCTTCTCCAACCGCAAGGACGATTGCCTTCCTCGTCGGCCGCTAGGGCTTGGAGAATCCCTTCACGAACCCTCCAACCCTCTCAACCATTAACCCTAAAAGCTCGACTGATTGTTGCGGTAAGTTTCCCCTCCTTCGCTGTGTTACAAACCTCGATTGATTGACCAACGAACCCCACTAGGGTTTTTTCTTTTCTTTTCTTTTCTTTTCATTTTGTTTTGTTGTTACTTTCTTCTGATCCTTTTGAAAACCCAAGAAAAGGTACGATGGGGGAATTTGATTCCTTATTGAGTGGGTTGTGGGCTGTGGATGGCTGGCTGGCTGGCTGTTGTTGTAGTAGCAATTGTCGTTTGGACTTTTGGAAGGAGGGTTTGGGATTTGAGATGAGGGAAAGGGAGTAAGGTGAGAAGAAGAGGATGATGAAAGCAATTTGGGTCGAAACAGAATTTCCCTTTCAATTAATCTAATGGAACTATTATTACTCCATCTATAGTCTATTATATTTCCTATATATGTCCTTTCTGGTCTGTTCTTGTCCTTCTGGTTCTTCTCTCAAGTTCATGGGCATGTGGCATACTTCAGATCATCCATGTTCTTCTGTGTTTTTTGCTTTTAACCTTTCCTGGTTATGAATTTACCACTGGGTATTTTCTTTATGGCAACCCTTTACTGATTCTCCTATGATACTTGGAATGTAAATTAAGTGTAGTAACTGGTTGCTAATTTTGTGCAGTAACTTCCAGAACACAAAAATTGTTGTTATATTGTCTCTAAGCAAAATTGGTATTGTCTAATTCTTTCTTTCGGCTTGATTTTTAGTGCGTTTGACTTGGAGTATTTAGGTTGACAACCTTCAGATCTGTAGCTTCGATTGTTCGGCATGGTCTTTGACTTATTGTTTGTTTAATGTGATATCTGATACTTCTAGCGGCCTGTTTTGTTCTTACAGTTTGTGTGCAGCAATATTTCATCAGGGATGGCAGAGGATAAGATTGGAATTGCCAAGGATGTCACTGAGGTTAGCTAGCTATATAACCTTGTTTCCATTCACATTCCAATTAGGCATTATATTGTCAAGATGTGAATGCATTGCTGATCCTTCTCCCTCCTTTGAAATTGAACAGTTGATTGGTAAAACACCAATGGTATATCTCACCAATGTTGTGGATGGCTGCGTTGCTCGTGTTGCTGCCAAGTTAGAGATGATGGAACCCTGCTCAAGCGTCAAGGATAGGTATATGTTCTGATCATGACTATCATTGTTAGTTGCTTGTGAATTAGTATATCAAATGCTGGAAATTCTGTCCAAAGAATTGACTTCTGATTTGCTTTATAGCTTGTTCATATTGACTTCTCAGATTTGATGTTTGGTTTCTTCCTTCTACTTCATGAAAGAAGCAAGGGGTTTTCTAACTGCTCTTGTTGTTTAGTTGAAATTGTTAATATCCTTAAAACTTGTTTTTTTTTTTTTGGTGTAGGATTGGATATAGTATGATAGCTGATGCGGAGGAGAAGGGTCTTATCAAGCCTGGCGAGGTTAGCAATTCGATTCTTTCTCTTGGCTCGTTTGGTTTAGTATGCTAGAATAATATTTGATCCGAACTGTTCCTTGTGAATGCATGAAATAAAGTATGTGCAATGTTATATTTGTGTGAGGGAGGAATCTAATTCTGACATGAATTTCTTTTTTTACTTATTTGTTGAAGAGTGTCCTTATTGAGCCAACAAGTGGAAACACCGGGATAGGGCTGGCATTCATGGCAGCAGCCAAGGGCTATAGACTTATAATTACAATGCCTGCTTCGATGAGTTTGGAGAGAAGAATGGTTCTCAGAGCTTTTGGAGCAGAGCTTGTTCTTACAGATCCGGCAAGAGGCATGAAAGGTGCTGTTCAGAAGGCAGAAGAGATCTTGGCAAAGACACCTAATTCTTATATTCTGCAGCAATTTGAGAATCCTGCCAACCCAAAGGTAATATGTTCGTCAGACTTTTGCTTCTCAGTTCTTCTTGGCTTGCATAAGCCAGCGAATTTGCACAATGACAATCACTTGTTTTCATGTCCAGGTTCACTATGAGACCACAGGACCAGAAATCTGGAAAGGCTCTGCTGGCAAAGTTGACGCCTTTGTGTCTGGGATAGGAACTGGAGGAACAGTAACTGGTGTAGGGAAGTATCTTAAGGAGCAAAACCCTAATATCAAGGTACCGGTTCTTGCTATCATCCCGACAAGAATGGGATTATAATTTTATTGTTATTAGTTTTTAGACTTAATGTTTGCTTTCAACATTGTTTCAGCTCTATGGTGTAGAACCAGTTGAAAGTGCAGTGTTGTCTGGAGGAAAGCCTGGTGAGTCTTGTGTTGCATTGGAGGAATTGCGAAATCTACGAAAGAAAATCAACTAATTTAGGGTTTTAATTCTTCACACTTTACTCCCACCTGATAATCAACAATTGATAAAGTTCTTGCAACCGTCCATATCGAACAAGGAAAACAACTTGAACTATGAAACATAAGCATAATTGAACAATGAAAATGAGATTAGCTTAGCCCATCAGTAAACCACGGGTCTGGCTTAGACCTGCGGTTTGACCGTCGCTGCATGTGTGGAATATACGCATCACTTGATCTCTGTCTCTTCCGTTTTTATTCTAGGAATATGAAATTATACTACACGCCCTATTTTAACAGTAAGTATAAAGGAGACAACCCTATGAAACTAATAATGCCGAATATTGCATTGGCTTATGACTCTCGTCTGATATTTTTTCCCTGTTCTTTGCTAACTTGCTCACTTTTTTGCTTTTGGACTCCTAAGGTCCACATAAAATCCAGGGCATTGGTGCAGGCTTCATCCCTGGAGTCCTCGATGTCAATTTGCTTGATGAAGTTGTTCAAGTGAGTTTTCAAACCTTGATTCTTACATATATGATATAGCATTTGATCTTGGACCTTTCGCAGTTTGAACTATGTTTGTTTCTTGCATGGTAACAAAGTCTTTGATGACCAAAGATTTTGTGTTCAATCAACAATATTAATGGTGTGCATGATGAGATTGCATAAAATTCAAATTCCTGAGTTGATTTTTGTCTAACGAGGCATTGTAAGAAGTGATACAAGATTCATTCTTGACTCTCTCCCAACAACTTGAGTTATTAACTTGAATATATTTGACCACAATATCCCTTCTTTCCTGTTTCAGGCTATTGACACTGACCTGTCAATTTTTGTGTTTGTAGGTATCAAGTGAAGAAGCTATTGAGACAGCTAAACTTCTCGCCTTGAGGGAAGGATTGATGGTAAGCTTGGAATCAATTTCCATGTTATGTTATTATCATAACCAACTTTCTCCCATCGTCACTGAAATGTGTTCAATTGAATTGCCTGTATTGCAGGTAGGAATATCATCCGGTGCAGCCGCAGCTGCTGCAATCAAGATCGCGAAGAGGCCCGAGAATGCTGAAAAGCTCATAGTTGTAAGTACTATTATTTCCACTAGACCTTTGACATCTATTGGCCTACTTCTCGATCATTAATTCTGTAATTTCTCTACCATAGGTTTCCATTTGAGCCGCTTGTTTTAAAAACTAACTAGCACCAACATTGGTGGTTGTTTTGAACAGGTGGTGTTCCCAAGTTTTGGTGAGCGTTACCTCTCATCAGTGCTCTTCGAAGACGTGAAACGAGAAGCAGAGAACATGGTGTTCGAGCCTTGAACCTGCCTCTGATGTTGTTTGGCGATGGAGTGCATGGTTACTGATCAGTACGGTCTCTGATTTTAATGCTCGAGGTTTCTCTAGACTCCATTACCATCTCTTTCTCTCTCTCAAAAAGTTTTTTTCTGTAGCATTGACATAAGGGTTTGTATTAGTCAATACTCAATAACGGTGCCCGGAGTTGGCCGGCTTGGTGTTTCTGCTGGGTTTCTGATCCTCTCCATGGAGGGGAAAAGAAAGAGGTGCTTGAGATATGCAAATACTGTCTTGGCTTGAACATTGTGACCTGTGTCTTTTCCGCCAAGAACTTTAGATACAAAGGTTAACGACGTTTGAATAAATATATGGTTGGTGTTGCGCGGTTGCGTCCGCAGACCGCAGCAGCCATTATATTTGTGGACTGGCTGGCTGTGCAACGTCGGTTACGATATACTTTTTAGTATATTATTATATTTCATGAATATTTCCACTCACAGATCACATATTTTTGATAGCGGAATGTGACCAAATCGGAAGATCACATGTTTCAATTTATACGACAACAGAGTTTCGTCACTAGCAGTCAAACGCTTTCGAGAACACCACACGGGGCTTCGAGACGCATCAAACTCGGAATCTCACACATATCGTAACGACATCGCTATGCTATCTTATCATTGGCCTGTTTAGATATATACAATTAAGTATGGAGTTCATGTTAGCGTTAGGGGTGTGCATCGGTCCGATATTAAAAGATATATTAGGACCAATGACCAGACCAATAGTGCTTCAATATTGAAAGATATATTAGGACCAAGGACCAGACTAATAGTGCATTCGGTCCGCTTTGGTCCGGTCCAAATGTCAATTCGATCCATTTTTCTTCAGTATCTATAAAATTCATGGGACCAAGGATCGGACCATATTATATTCGATTTGGTGTGGTCAACTCCAATCGTCGATTTGGTCCGATATGGACCAACTCATTGCGCACTAGCGTTGAAGAAAGGAAAGGGACCTGAGAATTGAGATTATTAATAAATAAATTATGCTGATCTTGTTATCAGAAGTTGAATATTTTTAGAAAAGGATCATAAACTCCTCCTGGAACGTTCTCTATGTTGGTCCCAAATGTAATCAGACCGGTATTAACTATTTAGCAATGGAGGGGGTATGAGCCACTGAGGATCAACCACATCTTATTTTCTATATAGTCGATATAAAAATAGAATATATTTTTTTTTTCAAACTATTTTTTCCTTAAGAAGTATATGAGATTTCATTCATGGGTTGGGTTGGGGCGACCTATAAGTACCACTAATTTTATAACCGTGTAATTGAAGCAAATTCATAAGGACTTGAGTGCCACCCTTTACTTTGTAATGAATAAGGTCTATAATGTTGTTGCAAAATCATATTGAATTAGAAATCGTACCAAATTAATCTTATGTTATGTAATCTCTTTCATGTTAATCATTTGCTTCTCATAATCGTTTGTATGGTTGATTCATGCACCTAAAATCATTTATTCGCGTGTGAATTCGATTGTTTCATAGAGTTTATTGTCGAGTATATTCCCAGTAGCGGATCCAGGGGGTGGCCACCCCGGGCCACGGCCCAGCCCTCCGCTGGATCCGTAACTAGTATAGCCTTTGTGCGTTTATCGATTTTAGTCATTCGGCCCAGTGTCATTTTATAATAAAATTGTGTGTAATTAGAAAAATGGGTAAGATACATATTAAAATCATAACTCTAAATTTAGTCTAGAAATTCTAGCTCAAATGAGTCTCGTCTAAAGAAAAACAAACAATGAAACCTAAAATTCTAAAAATCTAAAACGTAAAAGGCTAAAAGAAATATGAGATTTGTTCACTTGAAAAATCACTAGAGCAGGTGGTGAAAATATGGATGGATACACAATACAAATTGGTTAGTCGATTGATTTGTCTAGTGTTGACATTGTCCGTTTCAACAGCTACTATGGAGAGAACCTTTTCAACAATGGAACAGGTGAAAAATGATTTGCGCAACAAAATGAGCGATGAATTTCTCGCCGATTGGTTAACTATTTTATTTGAAAAAGAGTAGTATGCGATTAGAATGGATGTAGACTCCTTTATTGATGAATTCGCTATATTAAAAGATCACGTGTACAATTGATATTGTAAAAAAATTATGATTTTTTGCGGTATCTAGTTTTCTAATGAATTGCGGCGCAGTGCGTTACTATGTTCCGGATCCGCCGCTGCCGATACAAATTGTTGGATAAATATGGGCAAACCTATGGGGGACATGGGCTCAAGAGACTTAATTGGGCCCGGGCCCAATTAAGGACAGGGAAGACAAGGTAAGAATTGGGCCCAAAGCTAGAGAGCCGAGCGCATAACGACAAAATAGACGCGGGGACCATGCGGCTAGGAGGCCAAGGAGCTGAGAGCGTGCCACCTGGAGATGTGGTCCTGCCAGGCGCCTAGGAGTCTGGTCTGGGAGCTGCCACGTGTAGATATCCGACCGTTGGACCGTACCAGGCATTTAATGATGCGCTGACATGGAGCTGGAATCCAGGAGCCTGGTCGGGGCCTCATCGAGTATAAATAGTACTCGGTAGGTAGCATTTAAGCAGGTTGGCTTCTCTCACTAAGAGTTGAAAATTACTTCTCTCTCTAAAAGCAGATTCTGACTCAAGCGTCGGAGTGCTAACGGGCCTCCTTAGCCCACTAGGCGTCTGTTGGTGCAGGGTTTCGGCGCCTATTTACAGGAGCCACATCAGAGGGAGAGGAATTCACGATCGGAGTAACGCGGCTTCAACAATTGGCGCGCCAGATAGGGGGCGAATTGATCGACGTCAGGCGCATGGAGAACTTAGACGAGGGGATTGGGGAGGAAGATGTTACGAGATCGGAGAATTCCCACATGGGAGATGGCGAACGACAGCCAAGTCCTGAGACACTCATGGACGTGGAAGAGGAGGCCAGTCATGGGCGCCTATCGCCGGGAGAGGACGAGTCCTTGACGAGAAGGGAGTTGTTTCGAATCATTGCAGACCAAGACAGAGCCATTGCGGCGCTTCGGAGGGAGATAGAAGGGGGGCGAAGTGAAGACGTTATGACCTATAGCCCGGGAGTCAGAAAACGTGAGAGGGCGAGCGAGGATTTAGAGTCTCTGCAATACGGGCTCCCGCATCATGCAGGTTTAGGCGCTCAGGGACGTGCGCGCGCTTGGAGACCACAAATCCCGCCGCATGCGAACGAAATCGAAGAACCTAACGCTTGGGCGTCTAGGCGCCTAGAAAGGCGCTTTGGCGTACGACAACCGCTGGCGCGAAGCATTTTGATGGAGCCAGCTGGGACGACGATACCACCATTGCCCAATTATGACGGAGTGGCGGACCCAGAAGACCACTTGAATAGTTACTTCACAAAGATGCAGTTGTACAACAGCTCAGATGCTACGTTGTGCAAGGTGTTCCCGTCCACATTCGCGGGAGTGGTTTTGGATTGGTATCACCAGATTGAGGAAGGGCGCATAGAATGCTTCGAGCAATTTGCTGAGTTATTCTTGGCCAAGTTTGCCAGTTGGAAACGTCGGACGCTGACCATAGGCGCCCTGTTCAAAGTAAAGCAGAGAGAAGGAGAAGCGCTCAGGGAGTTCTACGACCGATGGATTTCGGTCGCCATGGCGGTCAAAGATGTGCAACCCACAGTGTTGGGAGTCTGCCTGGATGCTTGCACCAGCAGTGAAGAGCTATGCCGAGTCCTCTCGAAGCGAGATGTGGCGTCCACCGAGGATTTGGATCGAAGAGTGCAAAAAGTGATCATGTTAGAAGAAACGTTGGCGGCACGCAGAGCCGAAAAGAGGCGCCTGCGGGGGGACGAAATGGAAGGGAGGCAAGCGCCTAGGCCGGCGATAGGGGGTGGCATGCCGCCGAGAAGACCAGATATGCAGCGCCCTCCGCCAAGGGCAACGGGAAACTTCACGGAGTACAACGACACGTTGAAAAATGTCTTGCAATATGTCAAAGATAGAGGGTATCATATACGATGGCCGGGACCAATGCGTGGACAACCAAATGAGAAGAACCTCGATCGGTATTGTGACTTCCATCGGGACAAGGGGCATTACACAGCCGATTGCTACCAACTGAAGACCGAGCTCCAGACCTTGGCCGATAAAGGGATGCTCAATGATTTTGTTAGAAGGGGAGAGGAGAGGACGCATCGCACTTACGCAGCAAGAATGGCGGGACAAGCACGAACGCTGGAGGCCCAAGAAGCGCCTGGAAGAGTGGTGGCGCAACGAGCTCCTGAAATACCCCCACCGCCTTTCGAAGTTGACCAAGATAGCGACCCCAACCGCGTGAGACTCACGGTAGAATCAATTACCGGCTCCCTAGATTTGGGAGATAAGTTGGAAAGGACCAGGCGCCTAAGAGCCGCATCGGTGGAAGCAAAGGCCGCGGTGCACATAAACTTCAACCAAGAACCTGATGAAGCGTGCCAAGTTCCGTCGGAGGAGGCGTTGGAGATACAAGGGGTAATAGCAGGATGCAAGGTGAAGAGAATGTTGGTGGACACGGGAAGTTCGATGGATGTCATGTTCAAAAGTACGTTCGAGCGTATGCAGTTGGCACCAGAGCTGGTGAGGCCTTCAAGTTCGGTGTTGATAGGATTTTCGGGGGCGCCCGCCTTGGTCATCGGCCGGGTGCGCCTCCCCGTAACCCTAGGGGATGAGGCGCATTGTGTGACTCACTCGGTGGAGTTTGGCATCGTGGATTGTCCTTCCCCATACAATGTTATTCTGGGGCGTCCACTCTTGGCACAATTCAATGGGGTGGCTTCCACGTGTCACCAATCGTTGAAGTTCGTGGCGCCACAGGGCATAGGTATTTCACGAGGAAGGAACGCCCCACGCTATGCGCGGGAAATTGAGCGAGGCGTTCGGCGACACCGGGTGAATATCATTGACATTCGACCTGAAGAAGCGCCCAGGGCCGAATCTGTGGACGGAGAGTTGGTCATAGCGCTCGATGAAGGGCGCCCAGAACGACAGGTTAGAATATCCGCGCAGGCCCCTGAAGACATGAGGGTACCATTGATCGAGTTATTGCGTGAATTCAGTGAATTGTTCGCTTGGAGCGCACAAGACATGCCTGGGGTCTCGCCCGAAACGGCGGTGCATAGGCTAGCTGTGGAGGAAGGCAAAAGGCCGGTTCAGCAAAAGCGTCGGAATTTGACCCAAGAAAAAGAAGCAGCACTCCGTTGCGAAGTGGATAGGTTGCTGGAGGCCGGGTTTGTGGAGGAAGCAAGATACATCACCTGGCTTTCCAATGTCGTTTTTGTCCCGAAGCCGGCGGGAGATTGGAGAATGTGTGTGGATTTTACCAACCTTAATCGGGCGTGCCCCACGGATGCTTATCCCATGCCGCGTATCGACATACTTGTGGATGCCACAGCTTATCACGAGGCGCTCAGCTTCCTAGACATGTTCTCAGGTTACCATCAAATCCCCATGGCGGAGGAGGATAGAGTGAAGACTGCTTTCATGACACCCTTTGGTAATTTCTGTTACAAGGTGATGGCGTTTGGCCTGAAGAATGCGGGGGCAACATACCAGAGGATGGTCAACCAAGTATTCCAAAAGCAATTGGGTCGAAACGTGGAGGCGTATGTAGACGATCTGATTGTGAAGAGCAAAAGGCGCCTGGACCACATTCGGGACCTTCGAGAAACTTTTGAGACCATGCGCCGCTTCAAGCTGAGACTTAATCCCAAGAAGTGTGTGTTTTTAGCAGAGGCAGGGAAGTTCTTGGGATTCATGATTACGAGAAGGGGGATCGAGGCTAACCACAAGCAAGTTGAGGCAATATTGAATTTGGCACCCCCTCGGACACCAAAAGAGGTGCAAGGCTTAACTGGCCGGTTGGCCGCCCTTGGGCGCTTCATTCCTCGGGCTTCTGACCGGGGCGCCCCATTTTTTAAGACTCTAAAAAAAGCATCCAAATTCAGATGGACCGAGGAATGTAGCAGTGCGTTCGACGACTTGAAGAAATTGCTCACTTCGCCCACGGTGATGACAGCGCCAAAAGCAAAAGAAGTGTTGTATTTGTACATAGCTGTGTCGCACGTTGCTGTGAGTGCAGTTCTCGTGTCCAGGGAGCCTCAAACGAATGAAGAGAAGCCAGTATATTATGTCAGCCGCACTATGGTAGGCCACGAAACACGATATGCGCCCATCGAAAAGGCCGCGCTGGCGGTGGTGATGGCGGCTAACAAACTCAGGCCCTACTTCCAGGCGCATAGCGTCGTGGTCCTTACAAATCTACCCTTGCGAACCGTCCTGGGGTCCATGGATGTGGCGGGGCGCCTGGTGAAATGGGTTGTGCAACTGAGCGAGTTTGATGT